GGGGGAATAAAATACTGCTGCATCTTTGGGCTGGGATCCCTGGAGTCCTCTGCTAGGGACAGGGCCTGCTGGGGGAAGTCATTGACCAGCCCTGAGCTGGGGTGTTGGGAAGGATTTGGAGGCAACAGTCACGTTCTGCCTCCTTGATTTGCAGGGAAGGATGTGAAACTTGGTTCTCAGTGGCCTGAATTTAGGATCTGTGTGTGTTCTGCCTGTCCTGAAGCCAGGGTTAGTGCTCAAACTGACAGCCTCATGTTCCTGTGTGGGCTCAAAGCTTAACTTGGACTCATTTCTCTGGCAGGACCCCTGAAGAAAGAAGATGGAGACCTGCAAAAAGCTGTAAGTACACAGGGGTGGGGCTCAAGCTCGGGGGGTTGTGGTTTCCCCCATTCCAATCTTCATCTCTGCTCTCCTGCAGTGTCTCATTGAGGCAGTGACAATCATGGACATCATCTGCAAGCAGGACTCCTCCTATGTGTGCCGTGCTGTCTCTTGCCTGAAAATCCTGCACAGCAGGATCTGTGGGGATGCCACTTATGCCAGGGCACTGCTGCCCATTGCCCAGTTATTCCTGAACCACAGTAAGTCTTCAGTCTTGCCTATTCCAGCACAGCCTTTTGTCCTGGCACTTTGCTGCCTGCCAGGGTTGGTAATTGCACCTTGCCTGTGCTCTGCTATGGATGATCCCACCCCAGGAGCTGGGGTGTCCCCTGCTCTTTAGGGGAACATAACCCAGATTTCTCTTAGCCCCTGGAGCCCTGCCAGGGCTGCTGGCTGGGCTGGGCTGTGCTCAGCAAGGTGCTGTGTCCTCCCAGGCAAACAGGCAGCTGTGGACTCAGATGCCATCTACAAACATCTCTTCAGTGATATCCCAGCTCTGCTCTTCCACAACCCATCACTGGCCTTTGAATTTGTCCAGTTCTGCAAAGACAACAGCCAGCTCTTCACAGACTCCTCCAGCATATTCAGGCAGAGCTTCCCAAATCTCTTCAAGGTAAAACATGTTGGAGCAGCAGAGGGGAGAGCCTGCTTCACATCCCCTTCTGTGCCCTAGAACTTTGTTTTTGCACCCTAGAGCCCTCCATGTGCCTTCATGGCAGTGCTAGGGAGAGCACAGGCAAGAAGGATTGTTACAAAACAAGTGTGAGTTTGAAGGGGAGGAGGGTTCTGGGTGTGTTCAGCACTGCCAGGAGAGAAGAGTCTGGGCTGGCAGGACTGTGGAGGGCAGGGCAGCACAGTGAACACAGGACACAGTACTTGTTTCTGGAAAAGTTGAGTAAGCTGCAGCTTGCCAGCCACTGAACCAGTGCCAGAGGCCTGTGTGGAGCTTCTAAAAGGCTCCTGGGTTTTGACCAAACCCTCAGACTTTTCTGGTTTTGCTTTTCAGAAGTGACTTTCCCTTCCCATCCCATCTGGTCACAGTGTGGAGTTGCCTGGGTGTGTGATGGAGTAGCAGGGATAGTGCAGCAATTTGTGCTTGTTCCTTGCAGTTCCTGGCGTGGAACAGCCCAGCTCTGATCTCTGAGTTTGTGGACCTTCTCCCATTTCTGCTGGATCCAGGCACAGCCACTGAGATCTTCCATTTGCTGCTTGACCTGCCCTGTTTGACAGCAGCTCTGGACATCCAGCTGAGGTAATACACTTCCCTTCCTTTCACTTGTTAATCAGCATCTTAGCACTGACCAAAGCCCATGCACACTCCTGAGCCTCAGCTGGCACAGAGCAGTCACTGCAGTCAGGTTAACCAAAGGCTGCACAGATGTCAGCCCAGTTTTCCTAGTAATGTGTTGTACATGGGAGGAGAAGGTGCCCAGCTCTCACATTTCAGACCTGAGCTGTCTTTGGGGCTCAGGGAGCTGTTGCCATTCCCCTCTCCCTTTTCAGCTCCAAATCATTGCCACATGTTTGAGGCTTCCACGAGCCACCACCTCAATACAGAGGTGAAATACCTGTTCTTCCTGTCCTGCTCCTAGCCCTGGCTTTGGCTTTGTTCTCCTGGGGGCACATAGAATTTTCTTCCTGAGATCTTAGGAGCTGTGAGTGTCCATAAAGATGCGATAGGACTAGAACTGGGTGTACCTCTGCTCTTCCTTGTCCTCCTACCATTACAACTCTTTCTGGAGTGCTTAGAAAAGAGAGCCATCCTAGATGTTGGTGGGCTTGGATGACTGAGGGATAGAGTGCCATTTTTCCTTTCCCAGGTGTGACACAGAAGCAAGTCTGAAACTGCTGCCTGAATATGGGGTGCCTGAGCTCATCAGCTTGGCTCTCTGGAAGGCAGATATTAGACCAACTTGCTGTTCAGTGTTCAGGATCCCAGTTCTGCTCTGGCCCATTCTCACTGCAGCACATTCTGTGTGTTCCCTGCTAGGGCAGCAGCTCTTCCTGTCTCTGAGAAGGCTGGGGCTGACCCAGCTGGGAAACCAGCCACGTGTCTGGAGGCCTTCCACCATCCCCTCTACAGGAGCATGTTCCAGTATCTCCTCCGCAGCAGGGCTGCTCCTGAGGATGCTCCAGACAGGTAGGAGCCTGCCTGGAGTGTGCTTCAGCCATGCAGCTCTGGGAGGCAGCGCTGGGGTTACTGGGACAGGCACAGCTGCTCTGAGCTGGCCTCTGTCAGCTTTGGCAGCACTCAAAGGCCTTGTGGGGAATAGGGAAGGGCAACTGGGAACAAACCTTGAGCAGTAACTCTTCTTCTGCCCACAGTCTGGTTCCACTTCGGCAGCTGCTGGGATCCCTGGCTGGCAGCCCCAGGGTGGTGCAGTGTGCAGAGACTGTCCCTGTCTTACTGGAGCTCTTTTTCAGGGTGGTGGCAGAGGTAGGTCCTTCTGGGGGATTTCAGTTCCCAGTTGGGCTACAGGGATCTCTTGCAGTTGTAGAAGCAAAATTGGAAAGATGCTGCACTCTGAGAAAGGGGAGGGTAGGATTGGAACTGGCATGAACCAGCACTGAGCTGGCCACTTGATCCAGAAAAACAGAAGAGCTCTGTGGAGCAGTGTCAGGTTCATTCTGTGCTCTCAGCCAGCTGTAAAGGACAGAGATGAGAGCACAGGGAGTGCCTGATACCTGTTTTGTGCACTGCTCCCCTCCTAGACCAGGCAGTTTCTCTGCCAGCTGTCTCACCTGGCTGGTTATTTTGGGGTTTGACTGCTGAAACAAGGGCTGGCTTTCAGTTTGCAGATGGCTCTCTGATAAACCAGCTGGTGGTGCTGCTGCTGCAGAGGAGTGACCAGCTCTATGACATCCCAGCCTTCAAAGAGGATGTGTACAGGTGAGAGGAGACAGGAGGCACAGCCCAGCTCCCAGCCCTTCCTCCTGGAGGAACCTTTTCAGTTTTGACCCAGTCCCCACTGTGATTTACCTTTGAAGGGTGCAAAATGGGGGCCGCACCTTCATCCTGGCTGGGAGCATCCTGAGGATACAGCCCTGTGCCAGTGGCTGGGTGCTGCCAGCCCCTCCTGGCCTTGGGCATCAGCACCTTGCCCTGCTCTGAGCTGTGCCCCTGTCTCTGCCCCAGGGTGCTGGGCTCAAACTTGGCGATGCTCTGCGGGCTGCGCCCTGCGCTCGTGGTGGAGCTGTCCACAGAGATCCTGGAGTTCTCAGGAGCAGTCAGCAACATCCAGAGCAAGGAGGCCATCTTCACCCACATGGTGAGCAGGGCTGCTCCAGCTGCACTCTCACCTGATTTTCTGTTCCCTGAAAATGATTCATTTCCCTTTCCCTGTGCTCCCCTCTGGCCTGGCACAGGCATGGGCTGTCGGCGAGTTCCTGTCGGTGTCGCACGACAAGCGCTGCACAGTGGAGCAGATCACGCGCTTCTTCGAGACCCTGGAGGCCGTGCTCTTTGAGATCACCCAGCTCAGGCCACAGGCCAGCACCCCCAGCTGTGCCCCCCGAGCCATCAGTGTCCTCATGGCCACCCTGACCAAGCTGGCAGCCCGCAGCCAGGACTTGATCCCCAGGTGAGCACCGGCCAAGGGTTGAAACGTGCAGATCTCATGGGTCTGAATGTGGGTTTGCTGGTGTTGATTAATAATTGAGTCATGGAACTGAAAAAGGACAGAGGTGAGCTGTGGAAGGGCAGAGGTTGGAGGAGTGGGATTCATCTCTGACACCTGCACTAGTCTGTTGGAATTTACACACTGAAGTAGTGACCTGGCTGGGTGAAAAGGTCCTGCCAGCTGATATCTGTGTCCTTCTCTCCTGCAGAGTGTCCATGTTTCTGTCCAAGATGAGGACATTTGTGCAGAGCCCTGCTGTCACCTCTGTTTACTGCGAGGAAGACCTTGAGGAGATCCTTATACGTGCAACTGAGCTCATGAACCTGCTGAAAATGCCCAGCGTGGCTCAGTTTGTGTTCACCCCACCTGTGGCCAGCACACGGTTTCAGAAGGAGGTGAATGACTCTCTCCCTTTGGCCCTGAGGATGGTCACCCAGCTCCTGGAGCCTGCTGCAGGCTCCATGCCAGTGTGAGGGCAGGAGGTTTCTGGAGTAACTCACTGGACACTGCTGACACTCAAGGCTGAGGCCCTGATCTTAACTGGAAAAGAGGAACAAATGATTGTGAATGGAACAGAGAACAGGAATAAGGAGAGCTGAGGCTGCTCCTCTGGTCTAAGACTGTTTGTATTTCTGTCCTAGTGCCTGTTGCTTTTTTATCTCCTAAGCTTGTCTTATCCCTTCTTGGTGAGTATGCATTGAAATCCTGGTGGATTTGTGCAAATGTTGCAGGAGAGTGAATGGTGCATTAATGCCCTGCCAGCACACCCTGTCCCTTTGGAGATGAACTTGTTCCCTCCCTTCCTCTGCCTTGTTTCCCCTCCCCATTGCTCTCACTACACCTGCACATGCTGCTTCTCTTGCCTCTCCCTGCAGCAGAGCAGGCAAAGGCCTGAGCTGGAGGAAGCAGGACTGGCTCCATCACATCTGGGAGCCCTCACTGCTCTTGTGTCTCACCACTGGAGTGAACATGGAGAGATCCAAGAGGCAGCTGCCAGAGCAGGGCTTAGAGAGGTTTATTGATCCAGTTTATTGTTGACACAGAGCATTTCTTAACATCCACCGTGTCTGACAGGCGCCATGCTGTGCTCAGTATCTGCACCAGAGCTTTATTCACATCTCAGCTGTACATATTAACACACAGGGAAGTCAGTCCATCCCCTGCTCCTCCTGGGAGAAGCCAGCCCTCATGCACACTAGTAAATAGCAGGGTTTATTTACAGTCTGTTTCAATACCTGACTGCACTGTGAGTGACACACAGCTCTGGGGCTGTTTTCCAGCGCCAGGAGTGCTCAGTGGGTTGCACTGGTACTGCTGGAACATGCCAGGATGCAGCCCCAGCACTGTCTAGTGCAAACCAAGCCTCACCCCAAGCCCTGGCTCCGGGGCAGAGGGGAGTAAGGAGTGCATGCAGTTTGCCCAGAGGCTTTAGGCAGCCCATTTCAAGTTCTGTGGAGGATGACAGGCCAGCATACCTATTTGATTGAAAGTGAAGTGAATCACCGGGAGCCCTGAGCCTTTGCTCACCAGGCTGAGTCAGTGGCAGGAGGATGCAGTGCTCCCAGTCCCTGCTGGGGCAGCACCCCAGGGCAGGGCTGTGAGCGTGGCCCAGCAGAGCAGCAAGGCACTCGTGTCTCAGAGAAGGTGCCTGGTCCATCTTGCCTGGAAAAGCAGGCCAGGCTGCACTGAAATCCAGTAGTGGAGCATTTCCCTTGCATGGAGTGTTCTGACATCTCCTCCTGCGATGTGCAAGACCAAGCACAGGAACCAGAACTGCAGCAGTGAGGTGTAAATAAAGCCAGCCCTGTTTTAGCATCACAATCCTCAGAGCACTGTTGTTGTGAGATGCCATGTGAGTACCTGATCCCCTGCCAGAGCCTGCACCGTGCAGGGTGTGATGCAGGGCTTTGCTGCAGGCTGTTTTAATAGGGTTCAGCTAAACTAGGTCTGAGTATCTGTCTAAATGTGGAAATCAGGTCGGGTTTATCCCGTTAATGGTGCTAAAAGCAGAGGCAGCAGGAGGCCGGGTGTGCAGGGCCCGGGCAGCCACACGAGGGAGCTGAACCCTCGGCTGAGCTGACAGCAGGGTCGGCAGCAGGGAGCAGGGCGGTTCCTGGGATATTCACGAGTCCTCCCAAAGGGAATCTCTGCTGTCCATCGTCCCCTGTCGGCGTTTCAGCAGCACACACCCGGGAGATCCTCCGAGCAGGGCACGGAACAGGGTGGCCTTGCAATGGAAGCAGGAGGAGCAGGACATGGTGCTGAGCTGGTGTCAGTGCCGAGTGCTGCTGGGCTCCCTCAGCTTCCTGGTGGCACCAACCCTCTGTGGGGACATTCTGCCATCATTCCTGGTGGCCTTCAGCCGGGATTGTGGTGCCAGAGCTGGGCAGTAAATCTGCAGAGCAAGAGCAAGGGAGTCCTTCTCTGCAGGGAGCTCTCCCAGGGTCCCAGGAGCTGCTGGTGGTGTCAGCCCTTTGCTGTGGCTGCTTCCCATCCTGAGGCAGGGCTGTAGCCCAGCTGCCAAAAGGCACCTGAGCTAGTGTATGGCACCAGGGCATTAACTCCTGGCAATGCAGCCTGTGTGGAATCCCACCAGGGGAATTGACTCCTGGTGATGCACCCTGTGTGGAATCCCACTCCTGGGTGCTTGTGCTGCCTTCACCACCCCCAGAGCTGGGCACACTTCTCCAGCCTGATGTGCCAGCACCTCAGGTGGCCACAGTGAAGCCCAGGCCTGCCTCATGTGTTCTCTTCAAAACCCAAAAGTATTTCAAGCCTTCAGCCTGTCAGCATACACAGGGCTGCCAGCCTAGAGGAACAGAGGAGCCTGCCTACAAGTCCTCATGGTGGGAGCATTCCCTTTCCTCCCCCTGCCAGAGGGGACAAAGGAACAGGAAAGCTCCCAAGAAGGATGACACTGGGTATGAGGTGAGGCTGGGCAATGGATCAGGAATGATGCTCCCAGGCAGTGCAGAGGGAGCAGTGTGCACCATCCTTGCACGTCCTTTCTGCTGCAGTGCAGGGGCAAAGTGTCCAAAGCACATTGAGGGCTGCTGTGGAGTCCTGGTCCTCCCTCTTGCACTCCAGGCTCCCTGAGGTCAGCCTTAACCAGAGCTGTAGCCACAAGCTGCTGCAGGATCCTTGTTCCACAAGGACTAGGAGGAAGAGGAGCTGGAACTGATCTTTTTGGCTATTTCAATGTCCGACTTGGCAACCAGAAACCGCAGCTTTTTCCCCCCGGAGCGGATGAGATCCACGGCACTGCAGGGAGCAGCAACAGGGACAGAGGTGAGTTCTGGCAGCCCTTCAGGAGCCTGCCCAGTCATGGGCCTTCACAAAACATCCCCCCTTTGCCAATCACCTGTGCCTGCTCAGGGCTACAAGCAGGGGCTGTTCCTCTCCTGCCTGTGGTTTTGTGGAGGGCTTGGCCTCCAGGTTAGTGGTGCCAGAACAAGAGCAAACAAGCCCAAAGCTGCTCTGTACTGTGGGCACCTGACTTCTGCCTTTGAGCTGTCTCATCCCACCACCTTTGAGAGGAAACCTGGGATGGGATGGGGCTGCAGGAGCTGAGACTCATCTCTGGAGGTCTCATTTATTTCCCTTTTATGCTCCCCAGTTGTTGGGGAGGGAAGTATGGCTTATGCTCCATAATCCCTCTCCCAGACCCACAGCCTTCCCCCCTCCCTGGTGTCCTGTGCAGGTCACTCCTCTCCCTGCAGCTCGCTGGTACTGCAGCATCCTCAGCACTGCAGCGCTGGCAACTCTCAGAGCAAAACAGCCAGAAACCCGGAGCTGACAGGGACTCCTCCAGTGCTGGTGCCACCCCAGGCCCTCTGCTGAGGTGGGACTCACCTCTGGTAGTCTGCCCCGATGAGGCTGGTGCCGTTGACAGCCAGGATCCTGTCCCCAATGGAGAGCCTGCCGTCGGCAGCTGCGGGGCTGTCCTCGATCAGGGTGCGGATGTAGATCCCCGGGGAGCAGAGAGGGGTGTGCTGGTGGCAGGGGAAGGCAGTGAGCAAAAAAAGGCACACAAAGATTTGTGGTCCCAAAAGGCCTGGCTCCCCAGGCAGGGTAAACTCTCCCCCAGGGCTCACAACCAAGCCTGATGGCAAGTGGGACCTTGGAGATGCTTGGGAATATGATGGGGATGGTGCTAACAGTAACACGAAGGAAATATCCTTTGGTTTTGTATCAGTTTATACACAGAAAGGAGAGATGGGGCAACCTGCTCTTGTTCAATTTAATTAAGAGTAAAGCACTGTTAGCCTGCAGCCGTGCTGGGATGGGAGTTGTGCTCACGCTGTCCCAGGGCTCAGTGATGCTCTGTTTCCTACTGACCAACAGCACAGCTGTGAAAGGCCATTTAAAAGCATGATCCACCCCACAATGCCAGATTCCTTCTTATGCAAAGGAGGAGCTGTTTTGTGACCCTGTGAGCCTCCCTGCTCCACTCTGCTTCTCCTGCCACCGCTGAAGGGTGGAGGAAAGACCTCAGCTGAGTCATTTTCTTTCCACAAGAGAGCTGAGCCTGTTTGCTCTCCCCAGCTGCAGGACAGCTGTGGACTTTGCATGCACAGCACAGTGACCTGTAAGCAGAGATCCACTGCGAGATCCCTCTGTGCCTCCTTGTCCCCAGGAGAAGCAGCCAAGCTCCCGTGGGAAGCCATCAGCCTTTCTGGGGGTATAAACCACCCACATCCCACGCCATTGTGTGAGGGCATCAGCTGAGAACTCACCACGCCATCGATCAGCCCCATCCCCAGCCCGATGGGTCCCCTCTCCAGCTCCACCACGAAGACGTAGCAGAAATCATCGGTGGCAGAGCTGCGGCTGGAGGACTCCGGCGTGGGGTAATCATAGGGGGTTGGGGAGCAGCCTGGCAGAGGAGGGA